GAAAGAATATCCAAATGTACGATGCCCTTCACGTGCGAATACGTGAAGGGCATCGTACATCTGGATATTCGTTCGTGAAACTTTGGCGAACCAAGTTTATGTTGTTGCTACGGAGGAACTCTGATACCATGCATAAAAGGTCTTTACTGCGGGGTAAATTGTGGCATCGCCATCTCAAAGTGTACGGGGTATTATGCGAGAGAATGCGTTTCAGCACAAACAACTCGAAAGCACAAATTCCATGGCAATTCCACGGAACTCTCATAGGAGTAAAAATAAATTCATAATGAAGCAAGAACAGCACCAACAGAGAAAAATGCAACGTTTTCATAGGCTTTTCGTAGGATTTGTACTCGGTAAAATTTTGCCGCAATTTTATCATAAATGCAACAAATAGCGAACTTTTCATACATGAACTCAAATAAAGAATACCGTTTGTCATTTCCGTGCGCAAGCCATTTTTAGGAGAGCAAAAGTTGACCACCCCCCTGGATAGCAAAATTTACTATTTTCAATTTTTTTTATATTTTCCATAGTTTAAGAACTCAAGCAATCTAAACATATAAAAAATTACATTTCATGAACAGAATTGTGGAATTGAGAGCAATTTCAAAATTGTCTTACTTTTTTTGATACACCCTGTAGAGACCCATGCCTGCTGAGTTGCTATAGAGACACCTGCATCAACATATGTTAATGAATATGTTCGCTAATCATATTATTCACTCAAATTCACAGTTTTTAATTTCGTTTCTTCCAGTCCGTTAATTTTAAAGTCGCATTTTTATTATTTTATTTCATATATCCAGTATGTATGCCCGATAAAGCAACGACTATTTGAAGTAATGTAATCATTGATTAGAAGAATGAAAAATCTTTCTCTCAGCTCATCCCAAAAAACAATTTTGGTTCTCATACTCGGCAAGTGTTTAAATTTTTCTTATATGAAAGGCTAAAGAAAATTTTAAGTCTGATATGAAAATATGCAAAAATTGAAATTACATGCGTATGTTGGCAAAAATTACAGTTGTCGAGAATGCGAAAATTTAGGGGTTTTGTGACAACAGAGTGTTATGCAGGATGCTCTAATATTTGAAACCAGAAACATGAGACGGAGCTGGTTGTATAAACTACTTCTTAACTACCTCATTCGTAATGAAATTGTACTAAAACACACTGTCGATCAGTTCTTCCAATTTATTATTCTTGCCAATATTTTATGTCACACCAGGACTATTAACTATTAACTACTAACTGTGTTTCTCCTTATAATTATTATTCCAGACTGCATTCTTTCTAATCATTAAATATCAACCTTTAGTTAATTTTACATTGGATTGCATGTTTTTCAATGCTACAATCTATGCTTGTGTGATGCCCGGTGTGGATGTACACTCAGAGTAAGTTGAGTAACATCACACAAGCACATTATATATATTATACTCAGAGTAACATCATGCAGAGTAACATCATCTATTATACTCAGAGTAACATCACACAAGCATATATATATATATATATATATATATATATATATATATATATATATATATATATATATATATATATATATATATATTGGATGCTTATATATATATTCATTTTTTCCTAAAAGATTAGCCTTTCGCATACTTAATTAATGCCTTTACCTAATTTGCATAATGCTGACATAAGCAAATTAGGCAAGCGCATTAATTAAGCATACAGAAGGCTGATTTTTTAGAAAAAAATGTAAGTTTGCGTGAATAGTTAAAGAGCTTGAACTGCAGCAAATTGTCGGAAATTAAACGTGCAGCAATTAAACACCCAACACATTTCACCCATTAACTCAAAATACGATTAAAGCTTTTATATCTCGTGCGCAAGCCGTTTTCAGTTTATTGGAAAAAACACCCCCTCCCCCTTCCTGGTTTACAAATCTACGTTATAAGTACCCAAGGAAACTTTATATATCAAAAACTGGATACTAATAGCTGTTTCGCGAAATTGAGAACAATTTCAAATCTGTTCAATTTTTTTTGACACACTCTGTATATTCTGCAATTTGTTTGGCTCTCTACTAGTAGGATATTTATAACAGTTATTCTACTCACTCTTGTCGTTGCTACGTACGAGCTCATATACCACTGGAGTTCGCAGAATAAGTGTTAAATATCCTGCTATTAGAGAGCCAATCAAATTGCAGAATAGTTTATACCTGGTAGTTGCCTATATAATAATTAGCATTAATACTCGACTTTTTTCAACTTTTAGGTTATGCTACTCTCATGTGTTATGAGCAAATCTGGAGTTGGTGGAATAGCTGCACCTAGAGGTTGCAATTTTTTCAGTCATGTTATAACGTGATTACGACTTAGGGAAAATTTCGATGTGCCAAACATGAAGTAACTGAATCATTAAATGGCCAACAGGGCAGGTTGTTCAAAAGCTATTTGTAATCGGGGGTTAATTAAAGAAAAAACATTGAAGCAAACTTTCCAACAGCTTGCTCATAAACGTCTCATCTGAGAAACCTAGTTTCCTGCATTGTGGAAACACTTGGAGAAAATTGTAAAGATCGTAATCAATCGCCTTTTAATTAACAATGCCAGTATTGATTTCAGAATACTTGAGAATTTAATTCAATGGGAAACATGGTCACATAGGGCTTTTATTAGAACAAAGTTCAGCAGATTCTATGGGTATATGTGTGCATTATACTTAACAGTAACACTGTATGCTGACAAATGTCCACCCCCACCCCCCTCTCCCCAAATTTACATCGGAGGAGGGAGCGCACTGGGGGTCAAGAAAGAAAATTTGACAAAGTAATTTCAGTATTTGGTGAGGTTGAACAGCGAAAACCAATTGCTATACTACACTACACAATGCGCTACTTTGTGTTTAAAATCCGCAACCATGGCAACATCCTGCTTAGAATAATTATTACAATTTGCCTTTTTCCTGTCATTTTTAATTTTCAATCTTTCCATAAAAATAAATACTGGTATAATGATCTTTTTTCTTTATTTTTAATCCATATTCAATGGTCAAAAATCAGTATTAAAAGGGTTAGGTGCAATACTTGATAGGCTTTGTTATGTTTCAGAATCTATATGGACCATATTTTACCTGTAGCCAGATTGCTGGTTGCTTAGTTATTTTCAATTTTTCCAAGTCTGAATCATTCGAGTCATTCATTTGCCAAATCCTATTTCGAGCGGCAAACTTGCTGGTGAAATCCTATTTCCATGAGTTCAAATGACCAAATTCCATTATCTGGAATTTCGAATCCCAGTTGGCAAATCCCTGCTCCCATTTTGCCCCATTCACGACTATTTTAGTAGTTTGATTTAAAATTTGATTAGTTTGTTACTGGCTTGATGGGATCTAGTCATCTATGTAGAGTATATATGTTGCATGGTTGGATGCTTCTTTGGTTGAGTTAATATTAACGGCTTATTGACCGAGCGTGAGGTCTGTACGGTGAAATATCAGACCGAGGTTTGTTGGTATGGACCGAGCGACGAAGGAGCGAGGTCCATGCAAAAAACAGAGGTCTGATATTTCACAGTACAGACCGAACAAGGGAGGTCAATAATCGGTTTATTATATGGTTGAACTGAGTCTGTAAACATATGCTTTTCCAATTCGCGCGGATTAAATCGGCTATCGTCAGTTTCACTGGGTATAACAATATACGGTAGGCATGCGTGCTCCATCAAAAACAATTTGGTTGTTTGAAATTTTTATCTGTAAATTTTAATGACACACATTAATGGCATTTTAATGGCACACTGTTTGCAAAGCAAAAATTTCCCGCCAGATAAACGACATCTGGGACACCGGTCCAGATACGAAAAATACGGACCACGGTCCGGATATGGGTTTTTACGGACCGCTTGTCAACCAATCAGAATAGAGAATTTTGAAAAGCCATATAATAATAATGATTAAATCTATATTATTTAGGTTGTGGCGCTACTGAAGTCCTCGCAATTGGAATGGAAAATGGGTTAATTCTGTGGTCACAACTGTCCGCTTCGTCTTCTTTCGAAGGATATAATGCCTCCAATGCAAAACTAAATGGCGCTGGACATTGGTTGCCTGCAGAAGATGATATTAAGCCATGGCTTCAGGTTGATTTTGCAATAATATTGTGGTTAGAGGCATTAACAACGCAAGGCGCGTCAACGTCTGACCAATGGGTGACAAATTTCACGATTTCTTACGCGATAAATTTCACAGTATTTACGGACCTTATCGAAAACGGAACAATTAAGGTAAAAAATTAATGAAAAATTAAATATTTTGTTGAGAACATGAATTATTTATCTAATAGTAGGAACGGAGTTGAGGAAGTGAAATGACCACAATCAGGCCATATTTAAAACAGGGCCTTACACGAATCCCTGTCTGATCTCCACACGAGTCAGAACACGAGTGAACCCAAGTAAACACGCAATAACACGAATGTAACACGAGCGAACCGTAAACACATAAACACCGTCACACTATAGACTTCAATTTGTCGTTTATTACAAATAAATATTATGAAATGTTTAACAGCAGATCAAACTATTTATTCACAGCCCAGAATTTCAGGACTAATAATAATTTATGGTGAAGATTGTTCGGATATTCATGGATTTTATAATCACTCATGCAACTCCTAATATACGAAAGTGGCCATTTTCTGGGCACCATAAAATTGCTGAACAACTGCGACAACTCTTTAAACGTCTTATCAATAGATCAATTCTCACAATACTAATGTACATGAGTCAGAATACTAAGTACTTTATGTAATGATAATGTAATACTAATGTAATAAGACATGCATCATGTACATGAGTCAGAACACGAGTGGACACGAAGGGAACAGATAAGCAAACACGAATGGAAGTATGGAATACGAGTGAATAACACCCTTGCCCATCATAGAGTTTCTGAAAACTCAGTGTTTAAAGCCTCCATCCGGCTCAAACGTGGAGGGTTGTGGGTTTAATTGCAAATCCATGCATTTACTGTAGCTCAGAACTTTTCTGGAATGATTGTGGTGATTTCACTTCCTCAACGTAGTTCCTATAATATTTATAGAAGAATATTTTGGACGCTTTATTAAGTGTTTTCCTTTTCTATACACATATAAGTACAATTGTAAGTCCAACTGCCGGGCTACTTTAATGACAACTAGGAACTAAGGGACTGCTTATTATTTATTGTACAGGGGGGACTGAGGAGATGCTCTACAGTTATAATAGTTTTCGTTCCCCCCTCTTAAGACAAGTAAAATTTTCAAAGCCGCCCCCCCCCCCAACAGGCAAAACAAGAACATAAATTTTGGTCGCCCGCTCCCCCCCCCTCTAGCTCTAGCTTTTTATTTAGAGAAACAAAAATAGATAATGGGGACCAATAGACAATTCCCATCACAGACTAATTTTTTATCTTAGCAAAAAAGTATATTCCCTGGAAGGGCATACAAAAATACAGTCAAACCCCTATTAAGCGGACACCTTCGGGACCTTGCCTAAGTGTCCGCTTAAAAGGGGTGTCCGCTTAAAAGGGTATGTAGAAAAACACAGCAGGAGGCAAAGGTGTGTAATTACAGCAGGTGTATAATTTGAGTATCAAAACAGTAAAAAATATCTAGCAAATAATTAGCATAAAATGAAAATTTCTTTGTACATAAAAGTTCATTAGAAAATGTATACGTCTCTCGCAGTCATATAAAAAAGGAATCGATACAAGTTTGCTTTCGAGGCTCACGCAGCGATAGCCATTATAATGTCATTTACATAAAAATGGCGTTGGAAAGTTCTTCCAAATCTCGAAATTGTGCCAATTCTGCCAGCTTTAAGGGCTTTGGAGGACGATTTAATGACTGGTTCGTTAAGAGACCAGTCCAATTCATCATCTTCGTTCAGTTCGTTGTCATCATCAGTGATTTGACACATATCTTTCGGCTCCTCGGCTGACGGTTCACAGTCCTCCGTCCTCGTTCGTCACTTCCTCGGTAATCTTGGCTCTGATGTCTTCGCGCCAAGTTAGTGTGTCATAGTCAATGTGCCATGTAAATTGATCTCAATTGTTATTTATTGTCGAATATTGAATACATTTTATCAGACAATCTGTGATCTGTCCGCTTAAGAGAGGTTGGTTTGCCCATTGGGACCTCAATTACGGTGTCCGCGTCCGTTAAAGAGGGGTGTCCGCTTAATAGGGGTTATGATAATAGTATTTTATTAAAGGAAACGAATGGGACCTGAAATATGTGTCCGCCTAAAAGAGGTGTCCGCTTAAGAGAGGTGTCCGCTTATAGGGGTTCGACTGTAAGTAAAATTGCAAAGTTTGGTTGCAAAATGTTGTAAAATGTAGAAAATATAGCCTTCCAAAATTTGCAAATTTTGTATACTTTTGTATTGCAGTTTTCGCATGCAATACAAAAGTATACAAAATTTGCAAACTTTGCAAGGTTATATTTTCCGTATTTTGCAACCAAATTTGCAAATAATTTACTTATTTTAGTATGCTCTTTCTAGCTGTGGTGATTTATTTGCATGAAGGGAGGTGTAGAGAGGTGCGCACCTCCTCTGAGATCGTTTTGCACCTCCCCTGAGAATTTTTGCACCTCTCCTGAAAGGTCATGCACCTCCCGTTGGGAAAGTTTCAATGATGGAATAAAGAAGAAGAAAGTTTTCTCTGTAAAACTGAAACAATGATAGCCATTCATTCTTTGCCTCAAGTACCCTTTTAATGCAATGTTTTGATAGAAAATTTGCAGCAATTGTAATGAAGGGCAAGATTGGAGTCATACATTCATAATTCATTAATACACTGGTACATTTGTACACCACATGCATACCTCACCTCGTTGATATTGGCCTGTTCTACAATAAGCCCTAACTTTCCATGGTGGTTGTGAGCTAGACCACTGCACCTCCCCTAACCGATCTTTTTCCACCTCCCCCACTATTTTCACCAAAATCCGGCCTTGATTTGCATCTCTTTGCCTAATTCTAAAATTGTCTATTTACATGATGTAAATAGACAATTTCCATTAATTACATGAACACAAGAGACTTTTTTATGTTTGTGATACATTTTTAAAACCACTAATGTTTTTTTCAAACTGGTTAATCTTTTCAAAGCCCCCCTTCTTTCGTCTCCCTGTATTTTTTCAAAGCCCCTCCCCTTTCAGGTTTTAAAAAATTTAAAGGTCCCTCCCAGTTTCTCCTCAATCCCCCCAGTACAATAAATAATGAGCGGTCCCTGAAGGACATATAAGCAAATATAAACACACACTGATTTCCAGTCGACATATTGGACATCCAGTATATACAGGGGCATGGCGCTAAGAAAGTATGTCCATATATTATCGAAATCGCTATAGAGTGGTAAATTTGCCCCTCGAGCTTTTCACGCGCGGGGTTGATTTTATGTACTACCACGTAATAATTTTTTGACACCTCGTGATACGTGTTTACTATACCATGTGATTATGTTTTAACATCTGGCAGTTCTACAGCAGCAAGGATGGAGTTCATGCAGGCGTTCTCCGACAAAAAATGGCTTAATTTAAAAATCTGCACTAATCCTATACGTGTTTGAAACAAATGGTTTTGAAACTGTCGGGGCTATTTCAGCAATGGATCCAGGAGACATTGACATAATTTTCCAACTGAATGGACTAAGGCTTGGAGAGCGCAGATTTCTAGAAAAAAAATCAAAATGCTAAAAACGAAGGTATTTGCCATGCAGTTTATGTTTTCAATTGACAATTTAGTTCGGAAACTGATATCTGTATATTATGCTTTGCAGGAATGGGGTACTTCGTGTTCTGTACGTTGAGTTTGGACTTGATCTTTTCGGAAAAGCAATTTCAAAAACTGTTCCCTCTATTGGCGAAGCACCAAACACCGTCAAATCGAAACAACTAAAAAAGGACTTACTTATCCTGGTTGTCAGACTCAAACCCAAGGTTCATCTGTTAGTCCTCTGCAGTCTTATTAATAATATTTTACATAAAAAAGATATGATTAAAGATCAAGTGACGACTGTGTACATGTTTGTATACACTATCGAGAAAGACCGCGATAATTTCGTCCGAGAACGAACACCAAAGCAAAATGTCCTGTCCACTTTGACTTTGCCAACCTTTAGCAAGTGTCACTTGAATGAATGTCAAAACCGACTAAATTGTCTATATCCCAATCACTGCTCACCGTCAACATTTTGCAAAAACATTGACAAACATCCAGAACGACCAGAAGGCAAGCAGACTCTAAAAGATTTGAACAAGAAACTCAGCGAAGAGCGTAAACGTTTGTCATTCATGAAAGAAGAGCTAAAATACGTGACAGACTGACGGATGTTGACGGAATCTCTATCGAGAACTGGCATATATTAAATAAGGACAGTAAAATACTTGAACAAGAATTTAACGGTAAAATTCCCACTCCCGAGGAGGCCAGAAAGGCAATAATGTCTGTTGAAATTCTGGTTCCACACAAAACTAGAGGGAAACATCTGTTCATGAGCCGTATAAAAAATGTTTTTAACGCGTGACTTCTCACAATGTAAATATATGCGTACCTAACACAGTTATAATGTGATATCATAGAACGTACAGATAATAGGTAAACTAACTAAATTCCACTCATTGTAAATATGCACCTGATGAGCTAAATTAAAGCGAAAACGTTTGTGCAAAATTTGAGTGGCTTTTTATTATATTTTATGTTAGAAATGTATACAGGGTGTATAAAAAAAAGCGCAACCTCGGAATTTCCCAAGAAATCGACATTGTTTTAAAGACAAAAGATTTTAGGCGCCTGGGAATTTAAAATAGCACAACTGTCAAAATTACTGCACACGCGAGTGCATAAAGCAAAATTTATGCATTTATTTAATGCACAACAACAGTAATATGATCTATTAGCGATTCGATTTCAATTCCCACACGGCAAAAAATCGTTTTCTTATTTCAAGAAAAAAAAAACTTGTTTCAAGAAATATTTTCTTAAAACAAGAATTTTTTTACTAGGGAGAATAGCGAGAAATATTTTCTAACTGAGAAAATATTTCTTAAAATATTTCTTAAAATAAGAAAACAAATTTTCTTGTTTTAAGAAAAATATATCTCATTTCAAGAAAATAATGAAACATTTTTCTAGTGCACTTTTTCTTAAAATAAGAAATTTTTTCAGAACTAGAAAATTTTTCTTAAATTAAGAAAACTTTTCTTAAATAATAAGAAATTAAATCTTAAATTAAGAAAATATAACTTGTTTTAAGAAAATATTTCTCAAAACAAGAAAATTTTTACTAGGGAGAATAGCGAGAAAAAAATTCTAATTAAGAAAATATTTCTAGATGAATCATTTTCTTTTTTTAAGAAAATATATCTTATTTTAAGATTAACTTTCTTAAAACTAGATACTTTTGACTAGATAAAAAAATAAGATAAATTTACACCTAACATTCTCAGTTTAAGAAAAAAATTCTCATTCTAAGAAAATAACTTGTATATTTACTGAAATTATGGTAGTTCTGATAGCACAGCAATGTGTTGTAGTGAATTGAGTTTCTCCCAAAGTTTTTTCCAGGATTTTCTCTTGGGACCGTTTTTGCAGAGAAGATTGAGTTTAGCTGAACAGTTGGGGTGGCTGCATCCCCCCTCTACCGGTGGGCTGACACCTGTACTCAATAAATGTAATTGAGACGGAATGTGTTAAAACAGGGACACTATAAACTGGTTAAAGATGGCTTGTCGGGCTTCCAACTGAAAACTAATTTCCACACGTCACAACATTTTATAACTCAAACAACTTCACTTTTACTGCACTGAAATTTTGATGAGAAGATTGAGTTTCAAAACTCAATTCAAGATTGAGTTTTTGGGGCCGTTTAAAGGGCCCTAAAAAATCCCTGAAAAAACCCTGGTTTCCCCTGAAGCCATATTTTGTTTAACATTTTGTCCATTTCACAATCAATATTATCTATACCATTGTTCATTCACCAAGTCCATTGATTTCCTCATGTACATTTAATTAATACTGTTCCAAACACAGCATGCAATTGCCATCAAAGATCAATCATCTTAGAATCTGTAAAAGGAAAATTTTACTTATTGAAAATGTAATCATTACTTTATACAAAATATGCCAGAACAATGACATTGAGACTTATCATTAACCTACAGTGTAAAAGGGACTACTAACTGTAGATGTAATAAACAGCCTTTATTTAACCAATAACAAAGCAGTTCATATTTCATTTGTATGTACAAGGTGATGCAGGGTATGACAAATATACATATGTTATCCAGAGACAGGCTTTCTCCAGACCTGTACCCAGTAGACCAGGGTTTTTTTCAGGGATTTTTTAGTGCCGTTAAACGGGCCCAAAAATTTGAACCTTGAATTGAGTTTTGAAACTCAATCTTCTCACCAAAGTTTCAGTACAGTAAAAATGAAGTTGTTTGAGTTATAAAATTTTGTGACGTGTGGAAATTAGTTTTCAGTTGGAAGCCTGACAATTAAGAAAAAATGGCTGGAATTCATCTTGCAACACAAGAAAAACTATGCATTCGCCATCTTTAACCAGTTTATAGTGTCCCTTAGTGCCCCTGCTTTAACACATTCCATCTCAACTACATTTATTGAGCATAGGTGTCAGCCTCCCGCGGTAGGGGGGAGGGGGTGCAGCCACCCCAGCTGTTCAGCTAAACTCAATCTTCTCTGCAAAAATGGACCCAAGAGAAAGTCCTGAAAAAAAACCCTGTAGACTACTATCTGGTGCCATAATAGGTATCTGGGCACCACCCGCTACCATCTGGTATTAGGCAAACCACCATCTGGCGCAACTTCTTCTGGCAAAGACCTTGGACCCATGTTATTTTAAAAAGTAATAACCAATAATCACTATTAATCAGCAAGCTTAGTTTCACCAGACACTAAATTTTGTTGCATCATACTTTATTATTTTACTCTGTCTAACACCAGATAACTTTACTTGTCAAGAGGAAAGCACTAAGCAGTCGTGCTCAATGAGTTAATCAGACTATCTGCCCATGTGTCAAATTAACCATTTAGTTGCATTGTGCACTACGGTCTAACAATTATTAGTTAGCCAAGTAGATTATGTCAATTAATTTATGATCTGTCATGCTACAGTTCCTGTTTAAAGGGGAATATATCTTGTGGACTAAATATGATACTCAACTGACTGTCTTCTCTTAAATAACTTTAATTCATTATACAGTTAGCATCAATGTAGTGCAGTAACATTACATTAACCCTTTAAGTGCCAATGCACCAAGATGCGCCCTACTTTATTATTTTACTCTGTGTAATGCCAGACGATTTAAGTCGTCAGGGACTCAGGGGAAGAGTGCTGCCACTAATTGGGTTAATACATCAGGACCCTGGACATGTACAATTGTTTGGCATTGAGATAGCAAGATTAATCTAGTAGGGCGTAAAAAAATACCTGTGGTTCCGGTTTCATATCGCAAAAAAATTAGGGTTGGTAGGTTGGAAATACCTTTTTTTAAAATATTTTTTCATGGATTTTTCAATAATTAGTGTGACAACAGATGTCATTTGGCAGCAGCCCACAACCATCTGGAGAAAATAGGGTCGCACAGTCAATCACTTTGAAAAAATAATAGGGTGGGCAGAAAAAAATAGGGTCGATCGGGAACCGGAACCACAGGTATTTTTTTACGCCTAGTATGGCACAGATGAAATTGGTACCTGTACCAAATTTATCCATGCTCGGCCTGTGTGAATAGGAGTAGTCCAAGCGTGGTAAACATGTTACGGATACCAAAATTGAGTACAGTGCCAACAGGCCTTACAATGGGCTGCATTGGGGGTAGATTTAGGATTCACATGTAATTGTGTTGTTAATATTTACTAAATTTTTGATGCAGTATCAAGAAATGTAATAATTCCTACATACAAGGTCCTTACATGGGCTGTTTACAAGATCAAGGCTGATTCGTCTGGCTGGACCGACTTGCAAGTGCCGAGATCTGGTCTTGTACGTGTATATTGTTTTTATATGTTTTTGAGATTTGATTCACATGAGAACCGGGCTGGCCTGGTTAATTTGATGGGCTCCCGTTTGAGCAAGGCAAGTTCTCGCCTTTCCCGGCCAGCCCGGCAAACCAGACTGGCAATTGACAATTGTGTCACAACGCATGCTTTATTCTATCTACAGTAGAAAGCATATAAGAATTTTAAAAAATAACATTAATGAACAATATTAAAACTTCTGAAGCAGTTTCCTTCAATAAAAATACCATTTTCAAAATTAAAACAAATATCGCTTTCCCACCATATATAAAATTGTTTGGTAATTTCTTATAGCACT